CGACTCTACCCAGGCTCCTTTGCGTTTCCGTTTCGAGCGTGTGAAGTTCGTGTACAACAGGTTGGCTTTTCCCGCAGAGTAATCTGCACTCTGAGTCAACTGCTGCTGGTTTGCTGCGTCGCCGCAATCCCTCCCACACACGCACTGAAGTCACCTAAGGTGGTCACTCCTACCGAATGCATAATAATCAGCTAACTAGCATGATGGGGTACATTATTCGCTCAGCTCTGGGGCTTTACTGGGATTTATAGTAAAGGCTCAACACCATGCTCAGACTCAATTTTCAGTCAATTTCGCACCCCTCGCCAATCTGGATTTCGGTTCCTCAATATATACTCGCAATCATAATCTAAAAGTTTATACTCGGATTCGGGTTTATGAACCTGTATCCGAGTTCGAATAAGCATCAGATGTTCATGCACGGGCACATCGAAAGTTGTTGACAGATTGAAAGCATCAGAAATTCCCACCATTCCCCTGGGGGTAAATTACCACTCAGTAAAGCAACATTACAGAGAGAGTATCAGTGAATCTTCCACTACATCAAGCACTACAACCACACAGGAGGCAACCGTCTAGGTTAATCTAGCCAGAAAGAGAGCTATATACTACTGAGCAATCATGAAAACTCTCTACACCCCCTGGTGGAGACGACGCTCGAATAAGTATAATCAATCATCACACAATGGAAGTAGCTCAATGCAACACATATATCATCGTATAATTCGATCACAGACTGTTTGCGAGTCACAGACAGTGACAGATTGCGAAGCAACAGTATATTCTCATCTAACGCGCTGCTTAACACATCGGAAGAGAGCAGAATCATATCGGACTGTCCCAGTGAGCTTCTGCTAGCACAGTCACGTATGCCCGCCTAGACTTACGTGAAGGTAGGCTTACTGGCAGGATACAAGAGCTATCGAAAAGGAAAATGAAGTCACGAGTTATCTGCTGGTAACTCACTACTATCGTATAACATAAGTAATCTCGACTACGATATAAGGAAATAGACGAGTATAGAGGCCACTCAGCCCTGCGCGGATGCGCAGACATGGCAGAACTCTCAGGAACAGAAATGACGTGGAGAAGATTACAGCGTGCGAAGTCTTCCAACAAAATGCTCGTAGACATGAGTTATCAAATCACTACAAGTTCAGAGAGTTTTTAAAATTCCCATCAACACGGGGATGAAACCATCATTATCTTGCAGCTTTCAAATACTCAGAGCAGAGAGACTTGTATACACAATCTTCGAGCACATCTTTTATGCAACGTTGGACCTTCTTTTATCGACGGCTATGGCCAGCTCAGAAAGCATATGCTCAGTAGTCTCCCAACTGACGCAGCCGTCGGTGACTGACACCTACAGAGAAGTTGATCGCGTTCCCCATGGTCGGACAAGTTCGAGCTCTAAACCATAAAAACGAATGCTAACTTACGCCATATTTCAAGCCCAATTTCTGCCTTGTTAAGACCGATGCTCTTGTATCCAACTCTGGTACCGATCCGAGTTCATCATCAACTCGACTGGGGCGGGTAGAACCTAATAAACCTAATCGCACAAGATAATCAAGAGCTCACACCTACTACCAGGAGTTGAAGTATCAGTAGATTCGCTCGCTATAGAGACAGCCCTCCCAAGTGATGCAGGCAAACTTTGTGAACCCTCGTTCAAATTTGACTCAATCATGACTCCTGATATATGGCACATGCGTACAGAAAAGAGCAAATCTTCATGGAAGTGCTCTCACCAGCGATAGACGAGGCCACATCCGAGTTGGTGGTCAGTTGGTGACAAATGTCAGCCATGACCAGTGGTTGCCTCAAGTAGTCCTTGTTGCTGTTGCCATGGCTGCAGTCGATGACTATACCTCGACGGTCGAGGCCAGCACAACTGAACCAGAAGAACTCACTTGCGACACTCAAATGAGCTCCAAAAATCGCACAACGCTCGTCATCGTTGAAAAGACATATTGTCGAGTTACAGGAGGAGAGCCGAACGATCCACTCGGAAAAACCCACCTCAAGAGTTCTACGCATTTAGCGACTTTATCCTCCTGATAGTTGGGGCCCGATCGGCCACCCCTTAAAACAACATGAGTATTCTTGTTGCCTCGAGAGCGGACAATACACATACTTCCCTGATCATGGAACGGAGCAATAATTCCAAAGGACGATGCCAGCGATACCTTTGATGAAGGCGCGAGATAGGTATGCTCCTCTCCACTACAAACCACAGCGTCGACAGCCACCGAGACTTCCCTGAGCACCACCACATCACATAGATCAGATCGAGCCGGGTACTCACCCTCCAGTAGAATTCTTGAATCCAACAGGGAGGTCAAGACCACTGACCAGCTGACGATGTGGCTGACTCTCGACGGTTCTCGCTCCAACTGCGGCCCATGACACAAGATCTTCGAAGTACCTATAAACTCAGCATAACATATATAGACACGTCAAGAGCCCTACTGAGTTGTCGAGGCCTCCACAAACTCGGACGCTGCAGGAACACCCATATCAGTGATATCTCGGAGAAGTTCTCGTGTGATGCTGAAAGACACACGAGAGTACATCGCCACATATATGAACAGAGTCTCACCGAATTCCTTCCAAAACTTGACATGTGTCGTCCAGATATGGATCGTTCAAAAGACCTTTCCAGCCCACCGTGCTCCGAGGCTTCTCGTAGTACCTACCACACGCAGGCGCTAAGATTCATCGAAAGTCACAGCTGCAGATACACGTACACGCGCATGATGATGAGAAGATCTTTACGAAAACGATCGGAAAGGACCTTCAACCGTCCAGCATACTCCTTGGCAGCTTCAACATCGTGAACGGAGCACGGGCCCACGATCACTATTAGACGGTCATCGTCTCCTGAATGAACAGCAGAGTAGCACCAACACGATACATCAATGACCGACTTGACCGTACCTTGGATGATAGCGCTGGCCTCGTCTCTTGCTCTCTGAACAACCTCCTGACCTCTCGATGAAGATGGGATTGAATCTCGCAGCTCCTGGAGGTGAACAAACATGGTGTCTCACCGACATCATCATCACCACCGTACTACTACCTCGGCGGAGGGCAAACAGGCGACTTCTACTCGAGAAGGCGAGGTAGATCTGGACCGGGCAATCTGTAGCATGTGTAATCAGCCCGGTGGAGAAGGTGAAATCGAAAAGGAGGTGCAGACAGTGAGAAAGTTGGTACAGGAAATAAATACCTGTCAACAACTACTTATTCACATCGCCACCCAAGCACTGTCAATCAGCAAAACGGCGGGCGCGCTCTGTATGACAAAGTATCTTTATCAATGCGTTTCACCGAAGACCCGCCGACTCTCCAAATGGTCTCCACAACAGCCAAAGCTGTGCACCAGACCAAGGAAATCTCATAGATAGTTAGGACGACAAGCACTCAGCCGGAAATCGAGCAGAGTCGCTCACTGACAGGACTATCATGTGCTCAAAATAGTATTCAGTGACCGCTTCTTAGACCGCACGCAGCAGTGGCCATACCAGAACACAATCGGGGATCGCAATGGAAGTGAAGCAATGTTGATGTATAGGAAGCAATGTTGATGGAATGATACAGCTAGATGAAATGACACTCAACTAGGAGCCACAGCAGCCGCTGGATGAGGTCCCCTTGTCACTGAATGGGAGGTCGAGCCTGAGTAAAGGATAATGCATACATGATAATAGACGTGAATTCACCCCTCTTAAGCCGTGAAAATATCTTGCAGAACTGTTATAGAGAATCGCCAATCGAGACACAGAGGAATAATTCCTGACGGGTCCAAGATTCGAACCCACGACCCCTATGCGATGAATGAACAATCTCATATAGATTGTCTCGAAACCGCTTATAGTATCATATCACGATGGTCTCGATGTCTCACAAAAGTTTCACCTGATCGGCCTATCGTAGTCACGCGCTACGGCAACTCCATAATCGGACCCCTCGACCGGTACCGGCGCTCCGAAGCTCGAGTGCTGAGCTTGCTGCTGAAGCATCTGCCGTTGCAGCGCTAACCGGACCACCTAAACTCGACACATACAACACTATCCCTCTTTAGTGTACTACCTTCTCTGCTACTGCATAGAACAAGAACTCAATCTGCTCTCCACCTGTCAGTGAGGATGTGAGGAAGAATGGGAAACCCTGAAGACCGGCACTACAGCCACAGTCCACATTGCTTGTGAGCCAGTTCATTCACCAAAGCCACTTTATGAACTCCGTATTCGATAACACTTACGATTGCAATTAAATACTGAGAACATAGAACAAGTGCACCATCCTTATCGATCGCTTGAGTCACAGTAAGACGCGCTCCGCGATTCCAAATTGCCTTCACAGTAGTCTATAGGCTAGTCCACGAGAAATAACATCAATCGTGCAGGGCCAGAGTGTTAGCTATTGACAAGTTAATAGCTCCAGAATACTCCACGTCCCATAGTGCGATCTTCACAGCTACAGGTCTAGTGTGATCAAGTGCGCCACCCCAACGGCTACATTCTCATTCGCATATCTCCGAGCAAACGAGACATCGAGTTTTGGCGCTAGATCCTGCTTCGTACCAACCTGATTGGAAAATAACTCATATGAGGTATACAGCCATGTGTTCCTAATCACTGCGATAATGCTTCCAGTAATAACGATGCAGGCGACCGAATTCGACCCGGCCCCAAGTACCAGAACAAACTCAGCCCGTTCGTTATGTTGAGCCACTTGATTCTGCCACCATTTTATTTGGTCAAAAGACGCTGAATTGGACAAATCGAAACACAACAAACATATCTGAAAACGATTCCCTGTACCGTTAGCAGCACCGCCACTAACGAGGCAAGCCGAGGCAGGCCACACATCCATGAACGCTCCCTAGTATTACATCCGCCTGCCTATAATAATTTCCGGCCAATTGGGCAAACCGCTCCTGGCCTGCTGTATCATACAGAATCAATTTGATGGGCTCTGCTACACCTAAAAAAGGTATGCTGATGATTTTCCATAAGGGCACCGACACTAAACTTATCAAAAGTGTTGATGCTGGTGCTACCTGTCACATTCAGGGTCTTCTCCTTCGAGTCACAACCTAACGTGGATTGCGTGTTAGCGTCAAATACATCATCTACGAATCTGATCAGATATACGACAAGCTGGCCCCAAAGATGCGATCCACCGTAGTTATCGAGACCCAGACTCTCTCCTCGTACTACCTTGTGACCAAACAAGTCTTCCCTACGCTAGCGGGCCCCACTACAATGACCTTGCCAACTAAAACCTTAGGGACGGGCATGGCAGGAAGAGGCAACAAGCAATACTGAACAATTGAGTGATGTTCTATAAGTCGTTGACAGTGAGTAAGAAAAAAGAAGGTCACGTTCAAGCAGCCCAACAGGAAAGCTGCACTGAGTGTGGCGAGCGCGCATTACGTCACACTTGCTTCCTTACTGGGACTTTCAATATGAACACGACGGTCGTAATACGACCCACAGGTTCGTGGGTCGTGCGAATCAGTGGGTCATATGAGTCATACGATACGATACTATCATACCGGTTCATACAACCATACGAGTCGTATGCTACGATTCGTATGGACATCAGGCCTAATGCGATTGATTCCAAATTGGAGTCTCCAATGGGTAGAGACATTGTCGTTTGTCGATTGTCCAATGATCTGGGACCTCGGTGAACGTATAGGTCGCTATTTCCATCATGAAAGATCATGTCAGGCAGAAGACTTGGTAGTTGGGATTGCCTCAAGCAGTCTGCCAGTGACCCTTAGCGACAGAATCTGGTGCTAATGGCCAGTGGCCATTGGCCACTGCCAGAGGTGACTGCTAGTGGCTCATTGGTGAAATCTGGTGGCCAGATAACCATGAGTACTGTCATGCGAACCAGTTGGAGGTCCTACAATGTAGGACCTTTGGTTGATTCGCAGTGTAAGACCTACACTAGCCTGTATAGCACTGACTTGGAACGATACAGCCTAGGGAAGATGCCGTCGCCAACGGCGCGTTGCTGCTCCCGAAGCACTTACCCATAGACCCATACGCTCACAGTATGCTTTCCATGTTCCGCTTTAGGATTACTTAATATCTTCCGACAAACTCCATATGAAGTTCTTCGAAGCGTTCATTCTCTGCTTCATGATGATTGGCACTGGAGCCATGTCTTTCGATGGTATCAATCTCGAGGAGCCTGGAACGGACAAGATTCTCGAGAATGCGGTTGGCCAGGAGACTGCTGAACC